GTGACCGATTGCAATGAAATTTGGTATGTAATTGGATGCTGGATGTGTATGAGTTTTTTTTTCTAAGTCGATGAAGGTAAGGTAATGCACGTGCGCACGTGCAGGGGTCGCCTCCAGATCTCGAGAACGGCTGGACCGATTGCGCTCAAATGTGTCACACGATTAGAGACCGGCGAGAAGGGTGCCTTACCAAAGTCAGTTGGGACCAAGGCCGGATAAGAGGTTGGGACCCATATTGCACGTGCGCACGTGCAAGGTGCCGCTCCCACATCTGAAGAACGGCTGTGTCGATTGCAATCATAATTCATATTTGGCACATCGCAAGAGACCAGTTGGTAGGGTGCCGTGCACCGAAGAGCCTGTAGCTCTGCGCGTGCTCACGTGCGCACGTGCACACCCATCTGTTATACCTATATCAGGGACGGACGGACCGATTACAATTAAATTTGGTGTGTGATTGGATGCTGACCGTTTATGAGTTTTTGTAAGTCGCGAAGGTGTGCTAATGCACGTGCGCACGTGCACGAGCGAAATCGCCCCTGGGGCGATTTCGCTGATTTATTACACTGCTGGCATAGTGTAATAAATAACAAATGAGGACACTTCACCAATTTATAATGCAAACTCATGTTACAACTTTTCTTCAGCTGGGAGTGGGCTATGTAGCTACTCACGCTGCAGTATGACGTAATAAAACGTCATAAAACGTCACTTCCTAAATCATTGAACGCTATCCTCAGCCTACATCATCGTCTTCCATGCCCCGTCATGATGGATTTTTTAAATTGACTTAGACATGAAAACCCACGTTTTTTATTCCACTTAAAGGGACTATCCCGCCTTTTACATGGGGTTTGAGTTGAGATAGCCAAGTTTGCGGCGAGGTTCAGAAACCACTATCTATCTAGGTTGCAACCCCCGCGGCCTCTTGGTGTTGAAGAAATTCGTTCCCTTCAGTTGACCTTGCGCAAGGCCCTATCTTCAACATGGAGCGACCGTTAGTGTGACGTCACCTCGTTTAGTCATTCTGATTTGAATGGGTTTGTTCGTTGAAAAATCGCTTAAAACTTGGTCTGAACTTTGTTGTGGTGCCTACAGAGTAAAAAGAATCAGCTTTATGACAGTAATGTGGCCTGGGGAAGGAGGTAATTTTGGGCTGTGACGTCACATATTTGAAAGTTTGTGTTTGGAATATAGGATGCCTAAGATGCAGACATGTGCATGGATCCGAGAAAATGGATCTGGGATCTGATCCCACGGATCCTGATCTCGGATCCGTCGGGATCATAGATCCAGCTCTTTAATTTATCGAGAGATCCGTAGGGATCATAGATCCGAGTCTAGTATTTTTGATTGAGATCCAGTGGGATCATAGATCCTCATTTATTTTTGGTCAACACAGAAATCCCAAAAGATCACTCGTTATAACTCACAAACGTTCTTATTTATTGCTTTTATGTGATAACACGTCATAATCCATAGTTTTATGGCACTTATTGACAGAGAAACACTTGGAAGCCTGGTTTCAAATGTTGTTCATGGTGGGATCCACTCAGACCATAGATCCATGCTTTTGGTTTATTGTCAGATCCTGTGAGATCATAGATCCAGGACAATTTTTTCACGCCGGATTCGGTGGGATCATAGATCCGAACCTACAATTTGCTTCGAGATCCACTGAGATCATAGATCCATTACTCGGATCCATGGACATGTCTGCTAAGAAATGCCAGAACCGTGTTCCTGGTCATCCAATCTATAAAGTCGGGCACAATTTAACTGGTTTTAACAACATTTTAGAAGGTGGGATAGTTCCTTTAAAGGGACACTCCCACCTTAAAAAAATGTTAATGAATTGGCATGAAAGTGATGTCGCTCGGTTCAGAAAGAGCAAAAAGGAATATCTACCAAATTTCACCGAAAAATATTCACCGGTTTTCAAGATAATAAACTTTTACTTTTGTTTACTTTTTGGGATCTCCGCTGTTCCTAGCGACTTCATTTTGGAAGTGCGGCGTTTGCGGCAGATGTTGCGCGCAAACAGCATATACCATCACTGCTTTACAAAGATGTTAGTATAAGGTTTTAAAATCGTTAGATCACCGCTGACGTCACAAATTCTAAGGGGGCATTCCAATGCATTAGCCCCTTAGAATCAGGGGCTCCGCCACAGGGGGGTACGCGGGGGTCCGGACCCCCTCAATAATTTACCTGGGGGGGGGGGGTACAGTACCCCCCAATATTCCGAATACCTATAAGCTTGTTTTCGCGTAAGAATGACTAAACCATTCACAGAATGTGTTGAATAATTCAGAATGTGCAGTGTTGACAGTCGCAAAGCTAAGGAATTCAAGATATAGAAATGTAGAGATCCCTAAAAATGTGACACATGAAGCACTCAACTCTCGCCGACCTATATGTAGGTACGGGAGTGTCATTATTCTGCCATTTTGTTATTAAGATGAATGCGTTTAAGATTGCTATAGGATTAGCTCAGCATGCTAGAATTCGGCTATAATTTCGTGAGAGAGGTCCAGCTTGCAGGACACCTAGACACAATACCCGCTCCAAAAGAGCTCATCAAAGCGATCTGAGAATCCTTTTTCCATGTGAGGTCAACCGATAGTGTTGGGGGAAGGGGGTTAAGCCGGTCTTTCAATCACCGTACTAGTCTAAGCAACCTCACGCCGGTCTGAGGTAATCTGCAATAATCTGCACAGGACTCTGAATGCAGGTCGGTAGAGATACGTCTACAAATCACAACTCTTACAGGATCCCCTGCATAACCTGACCTTTGATTCAATTGCAGCATTTTGATATCCATTTTCAGGTCGAGGTAGGTCACTCTTTGACCACAGAGACTGAATGTCAGTCTCTACGGACTCCATACTGCTATATTTATGAGGGCAGGGCTTTCAAATCCCTTCAACGACTCCTAAAGCCCTGCGCTTTCCTTTAACTACGGCCTTGGAGGACCCGGCACTGGCCTAAGAGCCTACATATATATCTGAACGCCTATGAAGGTCCCTGAGTTCCCAAGCGCATGCCAGTCACAGAGAGCCTAATGCGCTGTCTGATGGCTAACACCGCCCTTGGAGCGCGCAACAGCGGCCTCCATTGCTCAAAAACGTTGATTTGAGAGGCCGCCATGTCGGTGTCAATGGGCTCCGCTTCTCGGTTTTCGATTTCTTGTGCAAATTGAGCCTTGGTTAGGCTCAAAGCAAAATTATCCCGATAAAATTATTAAGTTTTCTTTGAGCCCTAGAAAAAGCGGCAATTTTTCATCATCTTCGGGAGCTGCAGGGGGAGGAAGAATTCGCCCAAAATGCCCACCCTGGATCCGCCAGCGAGGTTTTGTGTTTTCGGTCGGACCCCCCCCCCCCCCCCAATCCCAAAACCGTGGCGGAGCCCCTGCTTAGAATCCGAAAACTGCAAGTTTGAAATTCAATATCTCCGAATTAAAGCATTTTTCGATGTTGTGAGTGCCCAAACCAGTGCAGGCCATTTGCAGGCCATGGCCACCAATTTGGCTATCTCAACTCAAAACTAATGTTAAGGTGAGATGGTCACTTTAATGAAGGTAAATAATCCCAGTTTCTTACAGAATGCCTTGGTACACACAAAATCAGAGGGCATCGATGTGCCACAGCCCGATGAAAGTCCTACTCGAGTCTCGATCTAAGTGCGCTCCAACATGTTGAACATCGTATCAGCATTCACTCTATTCCGTAACGTTACTCTCGAGAACCCACTGTTTTTATTGCATGTACGGCGCTGTAGCTCTATCGGTTCCAGAGATATCCGTCGACAGTTTCCAAAATGTTGAAATAGTCAGCATTTTACCTATGGTGATCTCTGGTGACCTGACCTTTGACCTGACCCAAAAAATGGCCGTTGTGTTTTCGTCCTTATTTTGGACGATCTTTCGATTGCCGCTTACCGCGTGTTGCTACGTGGCCCAGGAGCCGAATTAGAAGGGGGGGGGGGTGTTCAGACACCCCCCTCCGGCCTGGCGCGGAATCTCGGAGCACCGGCCCGGCGCGGGTTAACCCCTCCTAGCCCTTCAACTTGACCTTGGACCAACTCAGGATTGTTCCCTAAGGTAACCGATGAATAGTCTTACCGAACCATAACAACAACTTTTCTGCACAAGGTAAGTGTAAAAAGCTACAGCAAAACAAATTCTTTTTGCAGATGTGGGCCAAAGCTACCCTCGGTGGCCAAAGTTGCATGAAACTACGGTAATTCATATTATAGATGCTTTAACCTTGCTGTCATCCTCGTTTAGTGGCATCATCGGCACCACAGCAGACGCCTCGACCACGCCTCCAGCTACACATTCTAGGGTACCAGTAGGTACAGTGTGTGATCTAGGGTACCAGGCAGACATGTGCATGGATCCGAGTGATGGATCTATGATCTCAGTGGATCTCGAGGGACATTGCAAGTTCGGATCTATGATTCCACCGAATCTGGCGTGAAAAAAATTCCTGGATCTATGATCTCACAGGATCTGACGATAAAACAAGAACATGGATCTATGACCTGAGTGGATCCCACCATGCACAACATTTGGAACCAGGTTTCCAAGTGTTTCTATGTCAATAAGTGTAAAAAAAAACTATGGATTATGGCGTGTTGTCACATAAAATCACTAAATAAGAACGTTTGTGAGTTGCAGCGAGGGATAATTTGGGAGTTCTGTGTTGACCGAAAATAAATGAGGATCTATGATCCCACTGGATCTCAAGCAAAAATACTAGACTCGGATCTATGATTCCTATGGATCTCTCTATAAATTAAATAGCTTGATCTATGATCTCGACGGATCCGAGATCAGGATCCGTGGGATCAGATCCCAGATCCATTATCTTTGATCCATGCACATGTCTTGTACCAGGTACAGTGTGTGATCTAGGGTACCAGGTAGTAGGTACAGTGTGTGATCTAGGGTACCAGGTACAGTGTGTGACACGGTGCCGTCTCGGCTGCACTGGCAGGTACACGTTCGAGGTGGCTGGCGCGCGGCGCACGCTGCTCTGGCGCGTCACCCACGACACCCTGCAGCTGACCGAGGAGTCCACGGACGTCCAGCTGGCCAACGCCCACCTGCGACTCCAGTTTCCCGACTCCCCCGTGCTCGAGGGTAGGTGGGGCGCGCCCACCCGGCCGCCGCGCCGCGCCGGCTGGACCCCGGACACGGGCTGGCCATGGGCCCGCGGGGAGAGCTCGGACGGCACGGCTGCGGCCGCCCGCCGGCCGTCTCTGTCCTCAGCTGGGATGTTCCACGACAGATCGACCAAGCCTAACACCCTACCTATCAGATTTTGCCGAAATGGCGTCTAGGGGGTCATCTGTACCGTAAATTCATAATCTCCTATTTTCAGCGTTATGCTGCAAACGGTTTACGAGTTATAACCGGAGGTATTTTTCAAAATACCCAGAGTAACCGTCCTTTTAACTCTTATTACATGAAAATGTGGCCAGAGACCTACATTAATACCTATGTACAGTTTGTCAGTACCGCGCAAAGTGACGGTGGATCCATCGAGCCTGACTGAGGAAGGGCCTGCTAAATTGGGGTCACTGAAGCAATTGACATCCTCGTCCATTCCCTAGGTCAATTGGTCGGTGACTTTCAAATTAAAGCAGACCCTTTCTTGGTCAGGCTTGATGGATCCACCGTCACTTTGCGCGGTACTTTTAAGACAGACTGTACAGGGTGTCCCATAAGTTCGTTCTCACCTTATATTTGCATGTAAAACAGAGTACATTGCGTTTTGATATATTTATGACCCCTCAATGTGCTCCCCATTTAATAGGCAAACACATGAATACATGCTGCGGCATGCCAACCGGCATGTTTGGCAGCATAGTAGGCTTGAAGTTAGCCCAGACTGACTTGACATGCGCCGTGAGCCCCTCGAGGCTGGAACAGCGCTTCGCTTCGACGAGCCTTTGACGAGCTTGTACCTCGTAAATTTCAAGGCGAGGTAGGTCACCAGGTCACTTTGAATGACCCGACCTCCCATCACTTTTTTGCAACTTTGTCACCGTATCAGAGCTACAGTAGATGACAGAGGCCTTTGGAAGTTGCAGGATGTAATGAGGCCATCTTTGGCTACAATTTGTATATCTCGGCATTTGTATATCGATGGCCTAAGGTCTAGTCAATTTCGTGGCCTCCCATCAATGGGGAGAAAATCAGCTGCCTTATTTTTCACTGAAACTAGTTGTAATGATCTATGATGCCAATTACTGTAAATGACTTATTCAAGGGCTCCGCCACGGACTTTTGGTTGGGGGGGGGGGGGGGGACGGTCTGCTCTTCGCCCATCGCCCTAGTGTCTCCTCTAAACCTAGGGTACCCCCAAATCCAGTTTTCTCATCGGATTTAGGCCACTTGTTTTTCGTCATAGCCCTGATACGATGATTTTTTAACTGAAAAAAGCTAGAGAAATGGTAGGTCACCTGACCCATGCAATATTACCCAATATTAGATTGTACCTACCTTCCTCAATCCTCATATTGTCACACCAGACGGAAAAAAGCTTGAAAAACAATTCCTCATTTTTTAAATGGTATCTGGCGCATAGTTTTGCGCTGAATCTGATTCCGTTTTAAGCATTTGGCGAAAGTCGGGTCAGGTTAGACTTAGGTGAGATCAACAAGTGCGTGTCCAGCCGGCTAGCCAAAGTAGGTGTCAACCACCACAGAGAGTTTCGTAACATGTTGCATTGGTACCAAAACTACTTCTCAAATGTTCAAATGGATGCTTATTTCGACATAATCTCCAAAAAGTTTCCTAGTGACATGACAGAACATGAAAATGGTGTCCGTGACCCTTGTTTATGCCCTGAGGTCATCTTAGGTCACGAATGGTATCTAACAGTTTTTCGCAAATAACTTTTGATAGAGGCATGCTAGAGCGATGAAAACGCCTTAGATGTGTTCAGCTCGACGATACGGATCGACTGATATGCAACATGACCCTTTCCGGTCAGGTCATGACCTTGACCTGAGGTCAAATTTTCAAGTTGACCTTTCAAGGTCAAGTTATAGTTCATTCGATGCGTCTTGACGAGAGGAACACGATGCCGGTAAAAGTAAGCTCGTACAAGGCTTGGGTCAAAAGTTATTGCAGAAAAACTGTTTCCGAAAAAAAATCGGCTATTTTTGCAGTTTTTGCCCCCTGCAGGCAAAACCGTTGACGTTAGGTCAAATCTGAGAGAATTACTCAGAAAGGGCGTTAATAGGGCTATCGAATGCGCTTTTCCGCGGCGCTGTAGCTCTATTGGTTCCCGAGTTATGCGTTGGGTTCTTGGAAATTTTCGACATTCGACCTGGAAATCGGCGAAATTTTGCCTTCAATGACCTCTGGTGACCTGACCTTTGACCTGACCAAAAAATTGACCGAAGTGATTTCGTCATTATTTTTTACGCTCTTTCGAACGCCGCCTTCCGCGTATCGCTACGTGGCCCAGGAGCCGAGTTACAAGGGGGGGTGTTCAAACACCCCCCCCCCCCCCAGCAGGGCGTGGAAATCCAGGACCCCCAGCCGGGCGCGGGTTAACTTGAAAAATTGAACCAAATTCATCTAACGGTAATGACCTTGACTTGATATTCACGTGACCCTGACACTGACCATATTGCATGTGTCTACCCTCATTTCACATGCTGGCTCTTTTTATGACATGACAAGTCTGGAAACGTATAGATAATGTGCGCTAACATACGCCGTATCGGTGTTTCGGCCTGACATGGTCTGGAGAAATAGTTCACAGGCCCAAGGGTCATGAAGAGTCATGGGGGTTACATCATGAAATTTTCAGGGGATGTGTAAAATTCCCGGGAAATACTAATGGTTTCGTCACGATAAATCACTTTTTACGCGAGTTACTTCCGAAAAACTGAGGGGTGGGTCAATCCGACCCATCATAAGAACGAGGGTTAACCTCTCAAACACTGGAAACAAACAGCTTCTCTCATCCTACAGTTCTGCGATATTCTTATTTGACCGATGGAAGTTTCCTCTAAAAGAACGAACGCGTTTACCCGAAAGAATAATCTCCGTGTTCAGCGTTTAATTGATTGAGAGATCCTTATGGATATTGGATATACCTACTGGATTCATCATCGGAATGGCGCGTGTGATTGCGAACATTATCCGAGTCCCCCGGGTCCCGTAGGTATCAGTGGATGGACACAGCGATTGTGGGTAGTTGTCTGAGTCCCCCGGGTCCCGGTGGTATCGGTGGACTGGCTCAGTGACTGTGGTCTGTGGGTAGTTGCCTGGTCCTCACTGGGCGCTCGTTTTCGACAGGGATCAGCGCGCACCAGACGCCGACCAGCCTGGTACTGCTGGTGGCCACTGTGGCCAGTGTGCACCGGCTGCGTATGACGCTGCCGGCCGGCGGCGAGGGCCACTGTGCGGCGGCAGCCGGCTCCCTGCTGCAGCAGCTGACCGCCCAGCAGCTGCGGCAGCCAGACAGCATGCACGTGCTGCAGGCGCAGGCCAGTGAGTGACACACACACATAGACGCTGCCAGACAGTGAGTGACACAGACACATGGACGCTGTCAGCCAGTGAGTGCCACAGACACATGGACACTGTCAGACGCCGGGCGGGGGATGGGGGGAGGGGTGACTGGCCGACAGTCCACGTGTCGGCCCCTCCGTGCAGTGTGCATCCCCCGTGCCGGCCCCTCCGTTCAGTGTGCATCCCCCGTGCCGGCGCCTCCGTTCAGTGTGCGTCCCCGTGCCGGCGCCGCCCGCGCGGTGCGATCCACCTGGTGTTGCCGTGCCCGGCAGACGCTCCGGCGGCACACACGGCCGCGGCGGGCCTGCTGCCCTCCGGCGAGGCGGTGTTCTTCTTGGCGGGCGCGGCCGGCGGCGGCCAGGTGGTGCGCTACCTGAGCGGCGGTCCGGGCCCGCTGGCGGCCGCCCACCACCTGCAGCCGGCCTCGGTGGTGGGCCGCCTCTGGGGCCTGTTCGCCGACCCCTCGCAGCAGCGGGTCGACGCGGCGCTGGTGCTGGCGCCCGGCGAGCCGGCGGCGCCAGAGCCGGCAGTGGCGGCCGTCTGCCGCGACGGCCGGCTGCGGCTGTGGTCGGTGGCGCGGCGCACCGCACTCGCCGAGCTCGACCTGCTCGAGTTTCTGGCGGAGCGCGGCCCGGCCGGCGCGCGGCGCCACGGCCTGCGGCGGCGGCGCGGCGCCGGGCCGCCGCTGCTGGCCGCCCACCTCAGCCTGGTCGGCCAGCAGGTGTTTGTCCTGGTGCGGGCGGCCGCCACGCGCGCCGCCTGGAGCCTCCAGTACGTGGCCACCGTCTGCGCGCCCGACCATGCGCTCATCGACTACGCTCTGACGGAAGGTAGGAAGGAAGGTCACGGTTTGGGGCAACTGGGCACTGTGGGCAGAGCGGCCAGCCGCCTCGGATGTCTTTTTTTTTTTGTCATCAGTGTTATCTCTCTACTGTTAACCCTATTAGTGGCAGGCTCCTGGCTACCCCCTATTAGTGGCAGGGGGGGGGGCTGTTTACGACCCCCCCCCTTGATATCTCGAGATCTAACGGGCCGATTTTCAAAATTCAAACGGCATTCGATTTCGCTTAACGTGATCTACATTTCTAAAAAATAAAAATTAAAAAATGTTAATAGGGGGGGTAGAGGGGGGTAAAAACGGGCAAATTGCAGATACATTTTAGACTGTTTATCACGGCCAGGTTTCTGAACCAATCTTAACGCAACTTTTGCCGATCGATAGAGAATGAACCAAGAATTCACATGGATCCTAAAAATATGAATTTTCAAAAATCATAGGCGGATACAGATAATTGAGATTGGGGGTACACAAAAAGTATAGTAAATAAGGTTTTTGTTGGTACTGTTTCTAAAAAGGGTGGCAATGGTCTTGTTATGTTACAATTTCCTTATGAGAAAACGACTAAAATTGTATTATTCTTGCATAGGCGGTGTCAGGGCACCTATGTTGGGAGGTAAAACATAACCCCCCTTTTTGGACGCCTGGATCCGCCTATTATGGCAAAACGTGTCAAAAGAGGATGCACAATAACTGTATATGTTATCACATGATACCTTTCATTCACTGTTCGTAAAACTGGTGCAGCATCGTGATCTTCGGCCAAATGACTCGCTTCACGAATAGGACCCCCCAATTCCCAGTGCTCTGGAGCCGCCCCTGGTAAAGTTATGAACTTGAAATTTTCAGGGAATGTGCCCAATTTAGTTTTAGGAAAAGTCAGAAAATTTCAGCATCGTAGCTTCAGCGGTTTCGGAGATATTCCCGAAAAACCTGAGGGGTGGATAAAAACAACCCCCCCCCCCTGCCACTAATAGGGTTAAACTTTGATACCTGCGTTACGTCGTGAATCGTTTCCTAATCCTTGCAGTAACCAAGACTGTGCTTCACTTTTGGAAAGGTACTTTGATAAATGCTTTGTCTGCCTCT